ACACTGAATGACCGACAGGCATATGCTTCTGCAGGCATACTTCTCCACATCTACAATATTTAGTGCATGAAGTAGTCCTGAGGAGCAAATTATCTATATATTATTGGTCCAGCAAAACTTAATACTGTTTCAGACATATTATTCCATAAGGCTTCCAAAAGTTGTTTCACAATAAAACATGTTTTGCATTCCCCGCTGGCATTTCACCAGGGGCAACACTACTACCCAGGAACCTGCGAGTAAGTTTCACTGAATTCCACAAAGTCTTTCTGAGTAGATATGCATAGCACTGCACACAGTTAATATATTAATTCTAAGTTCCTTAATTGTCCATTTTATAAGCTGCAATGCTAAAATAAACTCCTAATACTACAGTTTTTGCTAAGCTAAAGCAGGCTATGGTGTATGTATACCTGAATAATGCCAATATCTGCCTAATAAAAGCAAGAGGACTACCACAGAACCCTTGCAGTTTAACTGCCTTTATGGCTAACATATACAGTTTTCAATGCATTACAAAAAAGAACCTATCCGAAATGACTATGTTTTAAAGGGTGTTTAAGGTTGAAAGTTCTTTTGTAGTTTATAATAATTGATAACCAGTCAGAAATCCAAAAAACAAAATTGAATTGAATTGACAAATATTTGATCCTTAGTTTTAAATCATATTTAAAATTAAGTCGCATAGATTTTACTATCTTATTAATAAATTCATATGAGGTAGAGAAGGGTGCCACCAATTTAGATAGCCAAGACCTCATATCAATGTCAAGTGTGAGCTAATGCGGAACTGAATATTTCACTACAACTTCTGTGCTCTTAATAACATTCTCAAAAATTGTCTTTGTGAGGTACGATACTGCCACTCCCCTAAGAAAATGCACATCCCCATAAACATTAGTCAAACTGTTAAGCACTGATGTCATGTGGCTTGTATATACTGCCAGCACAACAGAATTATTAGGTCTCAAGATCTGTAGATTTTTAACATAACATGATAGCCCTTTTCCCCACACAGTTTTCCCTTATACTAGAAGCATACAAGCTCCTCATCCCACCCCAGCAATCACCCTGTTTCCCTCCTCCTCTTTTCTACCAGACAAGACACAGTCTGGCGATTCAGGGGCTCAAGTAGGCCAGACTTCCTTCAGTGAAGCCCTTTGGGTAGAACTGCTAATCCATCTTATTAATTAACAAGATAATGGTGGTTAGCCGGAAAGCAATATTAATGCTAACTATCTAGGAAGCATCAACAGAAATGACTTAGCTTTTTCATCAGTTCCTGGTAGCCAACCTGTGCAGTAAACACGATATTCTGATATATTATAACTTGGAAATTGAAGTATGCAAGAATTACATCAAACTTGAAAGAACTGAACCTCTATGTGGAAAGTATAATCCACTTCAGCTAAACTACTAGTTTATAAATGGAAACAACATCACAAGTCCTTAATATTTAACTTTTAAAACAATGTGCTAAAATAGGAACAGTATATAACCTAGTTATAATGAGATGCATGTGGCAATTATGCACCTTTTTATTTTTATATTATCATTCTTTATTTGCATTTTTAGTTAAAACGTATGTCCAGGTGCATTATGCTGCATATGGTATAAATAAATACATATTATGCATATGAACTTCAAATAGAATAGCAGACAACATGCAGATTAAATTCTATATAAAAGAAATACACATAAATAACGGTGTGCTTCAATAAAAACAAAAAGCAGTGGAACTTTAAGTCTGCTACTGTGTAGAACTAAAAAAAGTTATCTATTAAAGGAAGGATTTCTATTATCTGAAGTTCTACTGCAGCAAACAAATACAACAGCTTTCATTCAGCGATTGTCAAAAAACTTTCCAATGTGCCCACTGCAATGCAGATGCCAACCAACGAATCAAAGGCATTCAGCAACTAGACAAAGAGGGTTTGATGCCAACCTCGGTGCCACTGGCAACCATTATTGGCATCAAGCACATTGTCTGCTTTTCCTCCCCCACTCTGCTGGCACTTGACAAACAAAATGGCGGTTCTTGTAGAAACAGAATACAGCAGAAGAGCTGCACTGATCGAATCAAATACAATTTTATGGATTGAAACAGCTTTTACCAAATAAGAGATAATAGCAAATAAAACACATTTTTGCTAAGCAAGAAACAGTGATTAGGACTTTTGATTTTAAGATAAATTCAAGAGACACTACAATAAGGAGAAAACCAATTTTTTAAAAAATCAGTGCTACACGTTTTAGACACCTGTGGACCACAAATCATTTTAGCCTAACATTCTGCCCCAGACAAGTGATAAGAAAGTAACTACCACATAACATTTAATTTCTCTTGTGTCCTCCAATTTAGGATGAGATTTATAACAAAATAAAATAATACGGTGGCAAGGGAAGGCAGGCAAGATTTTGAGAAAGTGGGTGAGCAGAAAGGATAGATAAAGCTAGTTAATGACAAAACTTAACAGACTAGTCTATTCCCCCCCTCCCCATTCAGTACAGATTTGGAAACAAATAGAAGAATCCTGTTTGTCAAATCACAAAAAAGACTGACATTTCTAGATCAAGAAATTCTCAATATATTGTAACATTGCTCTGCTCTGCAATGCGGATGCCAACCAACAAATCACAGGCATCCTAGGCTAAACAAAGAAGGTCCGATGCCAATCCTGGTGCCACTGGCAACCATTACTGGCACTCAAAGTATTCTTCCTCATGCTTTTGCCAATGTTTAAACATACACCCTATTTTATCCTTTCATTCATTTAAGAACTTTGTCCTTTTTTCATCCCTCATGACTTTTTTTAATTACTATGCATTATTGATGAGACATTACCAATAGATTGTCATAAACCAACATAGAAAACGACCCCTTTATAAAAAAAAAAGATTTCTTCAACTGATATTGCATAGTTACCTTTCGCAAACCAAACATTTGATGCTTTTCCTAACAAAATGTAAAAATTAGACTCAGCAGACTATTCTAAGAAAACATAGAAATAAAACAGTTTTTATGAAGGAAAAGTGCTACAAACATTTTCTTTCAAGTACAGATGCACTAGTTATTTAGCAGTTTTCCAGAAAAACTGTTATGAGAGAGCAAACTGGATGCACAGTTTCATTAAACAGAAGGCTCTCCCGCAGGTGACTTGAAGCAAAGAGATGTACAAACTTTTATCCAGTACTATTTTGTCAGTAATTGAAGAAACAGTGGAAAAACTTGGAGCAACATTGAGAAAAGGTTTACATAACTTAGGCTTATTTTGATAAATCTTATACAAACCATGACATCAACACAGTATCTCTAGTAAAACTATTCCTCCACACAAACCACCCATCAATTCAAGCTGCATGTGTCAACTTCAAAGCACAACACCTTAAGAAAAGTATAGATATTGTCCAGGAATGCTACAGCTATGATATTTTTGTAATCAATTTACTGATGGAAATACACATATAAAAAAAGTGGTCCATCATCAATCAAATTCCAATCTTTAAAGTATGTTATTTTAATAAAAACTAGTTTTAGTCTTTCCAAATACATTTTGAAATGAACAAAATGTGTATTTAACACAATTGAAAACTTCAAAGCAAACTGACTTTGCAATCTTATTGTGAGGTCTGCTTTGAAGTAAAGCCTATCGGGCTTAGAGCACATTGCTATAAATTCCACTGTGTTCAGTGGGGCTCACTCTTAGGTAAGTTGCATCAGATTGTGGCCCTAGATTAAATTTACAAGAATCTTCAGTGTTAACTTCCAGCACAACAAACCAGGTTGCAATCCAGACCAGTTTAGTTGTGTTTAAGTCACATTATATTATCAAATTATTTCAATCCAAATAAAAAGAAATAAACTTGTTCTGAACTGGGATCCTCCCTAAACTTTATAGCTGTTCTCTGGTACTAGAAATTTTTTTCATTAAGTACATCAGTGCTGCAATGCTTTGCTATATAGTGAGTACATGGTTAGATATTAGCATAACAAAACTGGACAGGATTATGTAAAAAGAAGCAACATTATAAGCGTAGAAAACAACATACATGAAGATCACAAGCCAAATGAAGGACATTTTACTTTTAATGTCATACATTATTCAGTTAATTTTCCTCTAAGATACCCTTATCTTATATTAGGACAAGATATAACACTTTCCATCTGCCTTTCTCTGGGCCACTTTCCAACACCAGGCCAATTTATGAAAAAAGCTGCCATCTGCAAACATTCTGGGATTTAAGTTTACTCCTTGCATAGACATCTATAGTGTATGACTGCTTCCACAACCTGGAGTTGAAGGTCAGAGGCCTCTGTATTACCAAAAATATCTAATTAGGAAAATGATTGTCTAAGCACATAAATTCTTACAGTAATTTATGTATTTTGCTCTTATTTGAACAATCCTTTTTAAACTTATATCTGTTAAAATGGAAATTATTATCCGGTATGAATATCAAGAGATAGACCACAATATATGAACACCAGTAAGGCCAACAATCAGGTTGTTCATACTTACTGCATATTAATATCCAGATGCTTTATAGGCCATTCCATGACCCAGGTTCTTTTAATAATTGTATTTTCTCATCAAAGATAATATATAAAAGATTTTAGTGGCAATGATTCCATATAAGTGAATATGCATGTACTTAAATGTGCTATAGATTTTATGCGTTTGCTCATACCAGTGATGCCAAAAATAGATGTATCAACATTTCACTGTGATTCTGTAACACACCAAAAACTTACTAATATCCTGAACTTTCTTTTACAATAAAGAAAGTTTATTGTAAACTTTCTTTTACGAGTTCTCAGATGAACATGTCACTCAGATCTACCAATGTGCAAACAGGCATGCACCTGTTTACATGTATACAGGGCAATATACATGCACAGATATACCCAGACTTAAGAAAAAACTTTGTGGAAATCTTTTCCTTTTAAAAAGGGGGGAGGGTCCAAGAATGCAACATATTCATACAGAAGAGTAACCTACCTTGATCCTGCACATAGTATGCCAGAAACAAATCAAGCTCCTTGACTGATACTGTTATGTGATGTGGCTGAACACAAAGTGCTGGATTTGTGCAGTGAGGGGATTTCATGAGCCGTTCTCCATCCGTACTTTCCAAGGGGATACCTTTGAAGAGGATCACCATGACTAGATCCAGACGCCAGACTTTGTCTGCCTGCCGTAGGCAGTCGATTCTCCTAATCTTACCCTTCTGGTCAGGATTGGACAATACACAGCATGGGTGCTTCTTCCCAGTAACAGTGAGCACAAAATCCTCCCGATACTCTTGGCGGATATCTTTGCGCAGCTTGGCTAGAAGCCTGGATGCCCACTTCTGTTTAATTTCAGGCTTTTCACTAAGTAGCTCATCCTTAACTGCTCTTTCCTCATCCTTTGACATTCGCTTTTCATGTTTTTTAAAGTACTTGCGTTTTCGAGCCTGAAGGTTGAACCAAGTATAGGCAATTGCACGGACATGCGGAAGAAGTGCTTCGATGAATGGGTGAAATTCATCCTGTTGAAAGAAGCAGGAGAAAAGAATACAAAAACTGAAATATCAGTTCCATTTGCATGGGGGGAGATCTAAACTTTTTTTAAAAAAATACACAATTTCTGACAATTTTACCAGTTCTTTAAACTTAATGTCACACGCATTACTAAGCAGTATTTTTTTAAGCATGTGCAACTTCCAGAAAAGATATCTGAGTGGTCTAAAAACATCTTCCTATTTCATTTCTAGAAGATAAATTTTTACAGTCTCATCCCTACCCCCATTCTGTCTTTAGTCCAAAGTGGAATGCAACTTGAAAATAAAGCAATCTGTGATTTGTATCATTTGGAGATTGGCTTTATCTACTAGCATCCCATTTTTACAAATGGCAGATTACTGTACTGTGGTTTTTTAAGACATCTGCACAAAAATGTTGAAAAGGCAGACATGAACTGTACAACTCATTTCTCTTCTGTATTGTATAGAAACACAAACTATATACTTGCTAAATGCAGTGTTATACAGTTCCCGCTTTTGGAGCATGCTCTCAGCAAGAGACTGACAGGAACACAAAGAGCATGCGCTACTAAACATGATCCATTCTCTTATCAATCGCCCAACATTCCAGTGATGAAATAGTACCATTCCAGCAGTGGTTAATATAGAAAGCAGGAAACAGGGTAAGAAGGCAAAAGACACAGCATGTAATACACCCCAATCAAACTCTCTAAATTTTGTATACCTCATGATTTGCCTTCCTAGTTTTGCAAAGTAAACTTTATGAACCTGAGAATGAAAATGACTTCAGTGACGTCTCAGCAGTTTTAATCAATTTCAATATAGAGTTCAAAGCTTCACAAAGTTAGTTAATTTATTAACAGATCACAAGTCAGTAGTAATTATTTGAACCCGCCTAAAAATCTATCTGAAGCACACAATGAAAAAAGACAATATGGCATAAACTTCACATGCTTTGTGCTGCAGCACCCTGTGGTAGGGTGACATTAACACTGCACCACAGAATAAATTCTTCTTCTCTGAAATAAATACAATGTTTTTATGGTTCTAAAACCTCATCCTTTCATATGGCTCTACCTAAATGTTGATTAGCCTGATTTTAGTATTTATTGCAATTAAGCGATAGAGTCTACATTTTGATTATACACATTAATAATACTTTGTAGAATAGGATGGACATGTTCAAATTCATGAGGGACTCAAGTCACCTATGTAATTATTCTGTAACCAAAACAATCTAAACATACACAGCAACTGCAATCATAGCACAATTTTGAGAGAAAACTGGAGAAAGACAGAGGATGTTATTGTTTCTTGCCTCATCTGTTTGTGCGAATAATTCTAAATATACATTTTGCACCTAAACCATATTAAATAGCTATTGTTTCACTCAATAATATACATTCAAACTAAACTTTGGAGCTACATTACAAGTAATAAAGTATTAAAATTAAAATTATGACACTGTAGAATTAAACTGTATTTTTCAAGAAGTCGAAACGTATACATGTTAATGGTAAAAACATGTTTAATCTGAAAGCAAACCTCACTAATTTCAAATAACTGTTTCTATGTAATGTGTATTTAAGATTGCAATATGTATACAAGCAATACAGAACAATAAAATATATTTTCTAGCTTTAAAATTATTAAATAGTTCATGCAAGGTGTTGGTTTTCCAGCCAAAAGTTAGGACCAAACAAGTCCATACTAACACCAACATGGATAACTGAACATTATGCATTGTAAGCCTTGCATTTTACAGGTAAGAAGAATTAAAAGTTTCAGAGTTTCTATCACAAAATTGCAAGCTTGGTTTTGTGTATGTGTGTGTGTGTAGATCAATACAGGGATACACACACATGAATCTTCTCTTTCATCAAATATAACAATCATAAAGGTTTAAAAAGAATTAAAACACAAAGTGAAGCAAAATGCCAAAGCATCATTAATTACAGTAACCAGTGCAGTTGTCTGGCCACAGAGATTTGAAGATTTCTGTAACTATGATGACACATAAACTAGACCATGGAAAGAGTTAAACCACAATCTTCTCTTTGTGTGGGAAGGCAGCACAGCTCAGAGCAACCACAGCCCACGATAAGACTTCCCTATCTCAATGCTCTCTGGTGCCATTTTTTTTTCTTTCTCCTTGACTACTATAGCTTGTTTTTTCTCAGAAATTGACCTGCATAAAATCCCATTAACGGAATCTGGATTTTAATAATACTTCTGGGAAGAAGTTAGCAAATCAAGCAAGTTTGAAAGGAATGCTGGAAAGCACAGAATGGGAATAGGGTGAGGGAAGTCTAACCGCTACAGTCTAAAAATTACTGTACCAGATATAATTAGACTAGTTAACATTGCTGCCAACAATCCTATCATATTGGTGAGAGTCAGGTTCTAGTGCTTTGAATTTTTCAAAGAAAACTCTAAGATTTTACTTTTGGTCATTGCACTTTATATTTTAATAAAGGTGCAATTCTTGTAATGTTGACAAAAATGGAAAATCCCACTGACATCAATGGACTTATTTCATAGTAAATATGCTTACAGTTACAGCCAAAGAAATGTTAACTTCCATAGTGAAACTGTGCGAATGGCCTGCTGAAATCCAGAAAACATATGACATGTAGCTTTTGGAAACAAGTCCATTGCTATTAAGTTGGAACCAAGACAGCAAATATTCAATATGAAACATGTATTTTTAAATTAAAAATGTGTGGCATGATCAAGAATCGCAAATCCTGCCATGAAGCTCTACTATAGGATTATACTATATTCTTCAATATGTGTTCACAATATTAAAAAAAACACTGCTTGACAAGAAACATTTCAAAATTTCTTCTAATAGAGATCAGGCACCAAGTGAATTCTGCTCAAAATTCTTTGCAAAACACCATTTATGAAATTTGATCTTTTTGCAGCTAATCCTGACAGACGAAATACAGAAAAATAAAGTTGCAAGTGGCTCTACATATGGCAAGGATCAACATAAAAGAATAATCACAAATCTTAACAACTTGCAACAGATATGTATGAATTTAAAGGTGTTCAAACATTCTAGCAAACATCCCAGTTGAATCCATATACAGTGACAATTTGTACAAAAATATCCTTAAAGTAAATGCTGAGCATTTGTAAACTTGTATTTATGGGAGAGTGGGTGCATGGATATGCTGCAATTGTGGTACAAATAGGCCAAGTTCGCTCTGCAAAATAATATGAAAAGTATTCCTACTTAATATTTACTTTCCCAACAATTCCCTTTCTAGTAAATTTATACTATTTCATCAATAATTATGGTAATTCTATAACAATGCGTATGAAGGTATGCACAGTTTCACTGGAGTTTTTTTCCTGTTTTACACAAAATTATAAAAGGGGAAGAATAAAGCAAAAGTTTCAAATTTACAGAGCTGTTTACTAAATTAGATAATTAAACAGATTCTTAAGAACCTGTACACTTAAACAACTAATGCACCCCAGCAAAATTTACATTAATTGCACAAAAGAGGAAAGGATCATATGGAGCTAATACTTCGTTATACTTAATACATGCGTTTCATAGGTGAAAAATGCCTACTGATATTTCAACTTACTGTTAAGTCCTACTAATTTCAGTATAGCTTAATATGACCTCAAGTTAGCATGCTTGGGACCACAACCTTGGTATCACAGCAGCAATTCCTACTTCCAGCTACTACTTTCATATATGTTCTTTAAAGGAAAAAAGTATCAGGCATATCAAATACTTATTCTGCACACTGTTTTATTTAACAGTTTCTAAGAGTTCTGAGCACCCATATTTTGTAAAGTACTGGCACCACTATAATCACAATAAACTTCAACCTCTGTACACGTACAGAAAGAAGGGCAGGTTTCAGTATTTTTTACTAGACTTCATCACAAGTATATATAAAACACAGTGATAAGCAACTTGCACATTCACAGAGCAAATGTGACTTAGAAAAACACTGATCATGCCAAAGTTTATTCAAAATTAGAAGATATTTCTTAGAACCAATGGAACATTGTTAAATTATTGTATTACTAGGTTTGCCATACCATTGTTTCATAGTTGTAGGCTATATACAAACTTAACTTGAAGCACTTTTGTTTTCTATAAGCCATAGTGACATTTTAAATTGTGAATCTGGCAAGTTAATCAAGTTATGTTACTCACTCAATAGCAACTATGGAAATACATACTTTTTAGAAAGAAGGCCAAAAATAGCAGTGGAATGTTACTTCTATGTTATAACTAGAAACACAAATTTTTCAAAGTTAGTGTAAACTCTAATTATGTGTCTAGTATCAGGACAGAGTACCAAGCAGTGAGGTTATTAAGATAGCAATAATGTCTCTGCAAGTAAGTACCACTGAAACTAGCAGGACTTTCTTCTAAGCTACAGTTTTCAATGTAGTGGTGGAAGTTCTCTTAAGTATAACAACTACACACAGCAGAGTACCTAATGAGCTAAAAAATTATCACTACATTACATTTTAAGTATCTACGACAATTTAACAAAATCACACAACTGTATGTTTGAGTTTTCACTTCAGGAAAAAAAACTTAAATATTTTACAACCCCCTTTTTTCACCTGTTTTGTACCAGTGAAGTTGATGTTACTTGTTGGAAGGATCCCTAGGTTAATCACACTTAGATGCCAAACAAAATATAAACAATAAAAATGTGTCAGCCAAAAAGCTACAAGACTGTATCCAATCACTGAATAAGCCTTATCGTTGTTTAAATCTTCATTCATAATTCTGTGAATGCCTCTGTCTTTAGGAATGGCAATGGTTTCTACTTTCCAAATGAACTCCTAATTATTTTCACCCTATCACAATACCCACCAAAATGTTAAATAACTCAGAAAGCTTTTTTTCCATGAGTATTAGTCATATCAATGTAGATCAAATAGTGTCCTTCTAAGACTTTAACCAGAACTGCACAGAACTGAACCACAGCCTCACATACTACCTGGGTATAATCTGTCAATTTAATGAATGATAAATGGTACTAATGTTACATAGCACAGACATTTAAACATCTCATACGGTACTTTCTATGCTGTAATTTATATTGGATCCAAATCAGCATTCCATTTCACATACACACAGGGACAATTCTAAAACTTTAATCCTGCTAATGATCACAATAAGGCTCATCGTATGTTGGAAGTATAACTATTTTCTTTATGTTAACGTATTTTCTCTTAAATAATTTCCCACTTTGTCCAAATGCTCTTCAACAAATAAATTTACAGAATATAGAAAATTTCTCTTTTTTAAAAAGAAAACAAATACCTACAGGCCCAAAGTGACAGAAAATGTTTAATTTTGATTTTGACCTTGGTTGTTGACTTTAGAAAGTTACAAACACCAGAGTTGATCAGGAAAAATATCCTGGATAGCCAAATAATGAATAACCTACTGCTTGATCTCTTTTTCTCAAACTAACCTTAGATACATATTTGCTTAATTCAGAATGGGATATTATATTACCATAATTATGCAAGTGATTCATTAAAAATAAAATAACACTTTCCCATTAAGCCTTTTCAAGTAAACACTGAGTGTACCAACAGAACTGAAGAAACGGCAGGATCAATATTTCCTGGATTAATCAGTGTTATTTCAATCACTTTTTAATCTGTTTTAATTAGAGCTATTCTAATTCTTAATCGCTGTGTTTCTTCTACAACTTAAATTTAGCAAAGTTTGCTTTCCCCTGGCATTTTGAAATAATATACACCTTCTTCTGCCCCCCCACACCCCCTGAAAGACTCAAATTTATACAACACGTACAGTAATTTAGTTTTGCAAATCAAAACCGAAGGCATATGGAGTGCACCTCTGAACAGTTTTAACTATTCCTACCCATCCGCAATCCGAACGCAAGTCTGTTATTTTAAAGAAAAGGCTATACCTGAGTGAGACAGATGGGAGAATACATCATGACTTCGCTCTGAGAATGCACTTCTTGCGGAGAGAAAAGTATCAAAAGAGCAACGGTTTCATCTATTCATTTTACAGTCATCGGAGGCTAAAGAAAAGATGAATCTAATCAGGAGCGAGCTCTGCCTCGGATCTCCACAACTTCGCAACAAACCCAAGTCCTCCTTAAATAGCCAAAGATTCAAGTTCACTCCGAGCGCTAGATTTCCCGGGGTGAAATCCAATCTACACTTTTAACCCTCTTGTTCTCGGCGGCTGTCTTGCTGCTTTCCAGTTGCTGTTGGTGGATTGGGGCGGGAGGAGGAGGAGGAGGAACGGGGGAGTGAATGGAATGCAGGGAGTTAAGGGGGGAGCAGGACTTTTTTCCTCCTTCGCGTTGCCTTTTTTCCCCCTTCTCCCCGATTTTCAATTGCTTTGGCGAAGCTGTTAGCGGGTTGATACACCACGGTACTGTCAACCACGTTGCCAAAGTTCAAGGTTGCAGGAGCGGAGCGGAGCAGGAAAATCCTGGCGTATGATGGCAGGCGAAACTTTGCAAGGAAGAGCCCTGTGCACTAGAGCGCCAACGAGGGAGTGTGCGTGCGCGTCCCCCTAGGCTGCAAAACACTTCGCAGCAGCGCGCAATCGCCGGGCTCCTCTCGCAGCAGCTTGTGCCTCTCTCCACTCCCTACCCTCCACCCCCTTTCTCTGTGGATAATGTTCAGAGCCTGCTTTCCAAACGCCCACTGTAATAAAAATGATCTCTTGAAAATTCAAAACGATCAATCTCTTCGCCCCCACCTCCTCGCTTATTCCTTTCCCCCCTCCTTTATGTGCTCCTTTCTGCAAACCTGGAAGTTCAAGAGGGGGAGGGAGGATTTTATTTTACCGACCGCACTTCTCTGGTCCCCGTTTAAGCTCTCTTCCTCAAATCCGACTTCAGGGTTTCATTTTATTATTTAATTACACAATCGACGCTTACACTCCTCCCCCCGCTGCTGCTGCTGCAAACACATTCCTTCCCCCAGCCCCCTCCCCTCTCCTCTCCATGCCTTCCCTCTTTATTAATCATCTCGTACTGTACGAGAGCTAGGCAGCACATTTTGCGAATATGCCAGTTCCTTGCACTCTCGCACCCCGTCTGCTTCCCCCACAAGAATGGCTTTAGTTCGACAAAGATTTGGGAGCATTCCTCTTTAGGAAAACTGGAGGTTATTCTAACGCAAGTCCTAAAGAGTGAGAAATGAGTAACCCTGCTTAGCTTCTGAAAGTGTCCCCTGGAAAATTCCCTCACATAATAGAAGGGGGAGCAAAGAAGGGGGGGAAGGGAGAAAGCAACTCGAAAGCCGGTCCCTCTGTGGGCGCTGGATCTCGCAGATCAGTAGGAGGGGGCTAGAAAGCGGGAAACTTTGCCAGTTCGCTAATTAGCCAAACAAGAAAGGAGGGGGGAGGAAATGTGCGTAGCGGGTCTGCCTTTGCATACATTCGACTCAGGCAGCGTCTGCAAACCCCACTACCCTGTCTGTCGCCTACATGTGGAGCAAGGTCACTTCATTGTGTAGCTAATGTTTGGCTGGGGAAGAAGGGGGGGTCGGAGTGGAGCTCGTGCCTCTTCCTCTCCCCCCCCCCACTTGCAAGTGGGGCCAGTATGTTCTTGCAAGAGTTTGATGGAAGTGAGGTGGGGGGAACATCATCCCCAAGGGGAGTACTTCCACGTGGCCCCCATCCCCCGCCTGGCAGAACAGGATTCGCTCGTACGAGGGTTGGGTTTTCGGGTGGGCTGTTTCCCCCCCCCCCCAGGGGGGTTTTTCCTTTTCCCCCCCCGGCTGGGGGGGGAAAGGGGGGGGGCCCCCCCCCCCCCCCGGGAGGCGAAAAACAAAAAGCCCGCGGTAGCAACACACTAGTCTGTTTTCAATCTCTCCAAGCAGCTCGTGCCAGGAAGGAGTTCGCGCGCGCGGTTTTTGCTTGAGGAATGCAGCAGCGAATTAAAAACACACACGCACACACACCAGCAACGTTCTCGCGCTGTGCGGCAAGACGGGAAGGCACTTTTGGGAGCATTCCCTCGCCCCGCTCCCCTTTCCCTCTGCACCCATGCGCGTATATCTAGATACCTGCCAACTGAGGATAACACTTAGTGCATTTGAGGAAATGGACTCTAGTCCAGTAAAGCTTATGCCATCGAGCATGTGTTAGCTTTTAAGGTGCTACGGGACTGTTGGTTGTTTTTGTTTCAGCAGTCTAACAGGGCAACCCCGTTGGAAGTCCCCCAACGACAAGTTGCAAAGGAGATTGTAAAAGGATAGTGGAAGCTTCGAAATAGAAGGGGCAAGTCCACGTGCACAGCCTTATGTGACTGCCAAACATCCGTTTATTTTCAAGCTTATTCCACCAGAAAATTACAGCAGGATAAGGTGCGTCCCCACGCACGCACTTGAAAAAAAATCAGGTACCAAACACTCGGCGCTGCCTCAGCTTCTGCAGACTTTGACCTGATGAACCCAAACAGGCAAACTGAAGCGCTTCAACAGGGTCAGCGCCCGTCTGCCTCAGGTAAACTTTTCTCGTGAGCGTCCTCTTTCAGTGCCCTCCGCCTCTGTGTAAACTGTCCTGAAGGGACCAGTGACTTTTCCTTTTGCAAAGTGGGATTTATTCACGTCAGGCATTTCACAACGACACATCAAGAGAAGCAGGCAGGTTCAAGTCAACCATGAAATGGTCACTTTTTAACCCCGTCCTGTCCTCATTAGGGAAATACTCAAACACAGCCCGTTCTCAAAGGGGGCTCTTAATGAGGGGAGCTTGCCAAGTCGACCAGCTGCAATTCCCATAAATTTACAAGCTGGAGGGAGGGGGAGGAAACGAAGGGGGCTCATACAAAGCAGGTAATGTCAAAGCAAATAGCTAGGACTAAGATATTAACCCTTCAAAGTCAAACCACCTCAATGTAGGTGCACTTCCAAACTCTGTAAAACCATCATGTAACTAACACTTTTCCTACCTATTAAGAAGTGCTGTAAAGTGACAATTTGGTTTACTTTAAAATAAACTAGCACAAAACATGGTAATGTTGTTGTAGGAGTAAGTCCACACAACTATTTTAACCACTTGTAGAAAATGTTTAAAGTCTACCTTTATGTTCTTGGGGCTGGGGGCTGACAGTCCCAGTTTTGGAGTTTCCCTTGTAAATAAATATTTAGTGTGTCTTGCCATAAAATACATTCCTTTTGGCACAAATTCCCCTCTGCTGTTAAGACTCCTATACAAAGCACTACAGGTCTCTGTTTAAGGGTAATTACTTTTCCCCCACCTCCCTTTCAAAGTTGTAAACCAAGGGCACAGAACTGATATAAATTTTTAGCCCAATGGCCAAATTCCATTTTGGAGAGGCAAACTCTTGGGGGATATACTCCTGCGGTAGCAAGATTGAAAGCAAATGGAACTGGCCAAAACACCAGCACGTTTTAGTGTAGATCTCTTACTGCTGGTAATGAAGCCTTAGGAGAGGCATCTCAACCTTTTCTATGGGGGTGGGGGGGCTGCACAAAAGTCAGGAAACCACCAAATGTTTGGTGGTTAGAGGATAGTGGGTGAAGCAAGGGAAGGAAGGTGTGGGCTACTGGAAGGCCAGATTTGGACACCTGAAATGCCTGAGGCTCTACACTTCTGTTTTAATTCCTCAAAATTTAAACTATAGAAAGGTTTCCTCTATGACTTGTTCAGATTTTAAAACATGCTTCTCAGTTTGGCACAACTATTAGAATCCCTGGTCCTACTGGCAATGATGCCTCTTTTAAGCATGTATGTGGTTCCAGTTGCAAAGCAGCAGTGATGGCTTTGAGTGCTCCACTGCCTTCCTTTTAATGTTTTTAATGTTTCACTGTTACCATTTATGCTAGCAGTCAGCTAGTGACATGCTTATCAGCTCCAAAGCCAGAAGTAGGGAAGGATGGAAGGAAAAAAACATAAAGTAAGAACTAATATCAATGTCCCTGGGTTCAGTAATGAAAGCAACATTGTATTGAAAGCAGCAGAATGTTAAAGATGACGAAAAGCACCAAAATCTTTACATACCTGAATTTTATCTAGTTTATCACAAATTAATGCCTGAAATAGGCATACTTTAAAATACATGACTAAATGAGAGCTAATGTACAGTAGAGGCAAAATCTACAATCTTGTCTACTCTAATTTGGAAGAAACTTACTTCAATGGGATTTACTCTGGGTAAATATACTTAATATCATATTACATGGATGTGATCTGTTTGCTTAAAATACTTCACTGGCTATTAAGTTCAGTTGGTCTCAGACAAGCTGGTATCTCAATCTTCACCCCTTCCTAATCATTGACATTGGGGTTGATATTGACCTACCTTATATGGTTGCTGCAAGGATTACAGAAATAATGTATGCAAAGAGCTATGAACATTCTGATTTGATGTTTAGTTGCTTGGTTCTGCATCCCCTTTTACATGTTTCTTATGTGAAACACTCTGTGTGATCAAAGGTCAGCACAGCCACAATGGCCCTATCCCCAAGGTCACATAACTTCCTCTTTCCTCAATGTCCATGAATTAGGCATTGATATCTACTCTATGCAAGCAGGCTTCCCTAGAAACTAGGTTACAGCTCCTGAAAGCTTTTACTTATCCAGACATCCCTAACTAACAGATGAACATCGGAGAGAGGACAGAAACCATGTGAACTTAGAGGCAGGACCACCAGCACAACAACTTTGTCCTTTGGTCTCATGGAGACACCTTCATATAGGTAACAAGGGGGCTTATGACTGAGTACATCCAATTATTTATTGGAGATTCATTTATTTCACAAAGATCTGAAGCTATCCTCCAGTATCACCATCCATATAAACAGATACCTTGTACAATGAATTCAGGCTGTAATTGATCTGTTATGCAGACTTTTGCTGCAAGTAGATACTTTTGTGTAAAATGTGAGAGGTTGATCATGGTAGTTTTCAATCCTAAGAATTATGTTTTGAATGGGAATACTGATTCTGAAGAGGATCTCATATTGCTAAAACAAACATAAAACACAAACTCTACCATTAAAACAAAAAGCTTTTGCTTTGCCATTAAATGTCTTAACCACTTTAGATCAATTTTGTCATAGCTAAACTCATTTACCACATTATATTGATTGTGTACTAGGTTTACTTCCTCTTGGGGTAGAAGCACATACATTGTTGTTATGCAGATGATACTGGAAACAGTCACTCTGGAGCAACTAAGCCTACAAACTTGTACCATTTATAAGGAAATTATCATACCATGCCTGCTCTGCATCCCTGGTGGGTACTTGTAGAAGGTGCAGAGCATCACAACATGAAAGCTCCACATGGAATGTGTTTCTAAATTTCACAAGCTAGGCCATTTTCAGAAACATCACAGTACTGATTAAGATGTGCTCCATGTATATACCAATAGTGGCAAATGAATAAAATTCACATTTTTTCCATCATTGCTTATGTGGTACAAATATATTCATAGTCTGCAATCTTCACCAACTCCTACTCTATATCCAAACTCCTGGTGTTGACATGTTACGGCCCTTTGCATCTTGGGACTGCAGCACTTGATGCATTATCTCCTCCCACATGTATGGAATTGAACACAGACCATCTTAGGCCCTACTCTGAGTGCTGCTATCCAAATGAGGTAAGCACAGGTAGCTTACAAGTAAAAGGGATTTGTCAGTAGTGGTACTCCAGTTAGGGCCCAAATACCTTCC